TATATATATATATATATCAAATGAATAGTAAAATTTGGGAAGCAATCTTCAGTGAGCCACCCTTATTTCTTTAGAATATAATAGAATAATGATATTATAATTTTACCCTCATTATTTTTTCAGTCGGTCAGCTTGGACAAAGTTCATTTGGCTAGTCCGGCTTGGTTCGATCTGATTAGTTGGGTTTCGTGATCTATTTACAGGTGATCAACCTCCGTCATATTCTTTCCTCGGGACCGTTAGATTTTTACAGGTGATCAACCTCCGTCATATTCTTTCCTCTAGACCGTTAGATTTCTATAAGATCAGCACTGATTTTTTTTTTTGATGTAAACTTAATCCTAGTTTGTTATAAAAATTTCATTTTCTTGATATATGTTAAAGAACATAATATGTAAAACTCTTTTAATAACAATCATCATCATCAATCATCAAAATATGACAAGAAATCTAATATTCTTAATTACCACTAAGTGTATGTTTAGAGAATGTGTACTTTTTTAATTATTAATAAGGATAATTATAAAAATGTCGGTGGAGAAAATTAAAATTTAATTTTAATAATGAATATTTTTTTCTTAAGAAAAGTTAACCAATAATTTTTTTTTAAGGATAATTATAAAAATGTCGGTGGAGAAAATTAAATTTTAATTTTAATCATTAATATTTTTTTTTCTTAAAAAAAGTTAACCAATAATTTTTTTTTTTAAATATAGCTACTACACACTAATTAATTTGATTCTAGAAAGTCATTTTTCATTATTGAAATTTTTAGAAAACAGCCAAAATAAAATAAAAAATAAAGGAGTTGATAGATTTTCTTAATCTTAAATTTGAATTTCCCCAAATAGAGAGAAAAATAAATTTTGAGTAAATTTAATTGAAAATAAATATATAATGATACTTCATAGCATGAATGACCAATATGCAACGAAAATAGTAATAATAAAATCTATTATAAGGATTTAGAAGGTATAAATATAAAAAGTAAAATTTTGATGTTAGATATATATATATATATATATTAAAAAAAAATTAACTGAGGGGTGGACTCCTATTCCAGTCCAAGTCCAAATTCAAATGTGACTGCAAGGGCTTAGATTCGAACCCCCGACCCGAGGGTCTTACGCCAAAGCCGCCACCAATGAAACACGGCTTGCGAGCGCTATATTCATATATCCCAATTTATTAAAAAGTCTTTTTCAAAGCATTTGAATGCTTTTTTGATGTTGTTAAATCAATCCACCTCCTCTTTCATAACCACTTGATTAAGAGAATATGTTCTATTCTAAAAAGAAAAATTTTAACAAGAAAATAATAGAAAATGTATCATCTAATAATTGAATGTATTTAGAAATGTTAGATTTTTTTACTAATATAAAGATACCAAAATATTTTTTTGTCTAATCAATCAACCTCCACCTTAAAAATATTACTTCAAGAAATAAAATTGATTTTAATTAAATTTATGTGTAAAAAGAAATTTTTTTATGTTTAAATTTAGTTTAAATGTTATAAAAATAATTAACATTAAACTACATCCCAAGTTTTGTAAAGGCCGATTGTAGATTTCTATTTATGGACGAAGAAACATGAGTAAAGTGTCAAAAGAATCCGAAATTATTTTAGTGATGTTATTATAGCCTAACAATTTATTAAACTGCCAAACTAATCTCGAAACGTTTTAAATTGAGACTCAAATAGACTATAGGACTAAAACAAATACATGTAAATAGTAAGGGTCTATTTTGACAATTTAAAAATATTATAGTGGCAAGTATGAAGATCGAAGATTCACAGAGTGATGAGTAGAATTTCGAATGATTCGTGCATTCAATACATTATTTGTAGCTTGATTCAAATAGTGCTTGTTCATAATTATTTTGGTTCATCAATCAGACAATCTTAAACATTTTTATAAATAATCAATTGTTCAATGAATAAGTTTAAACCGCTTATGGCTCAAGAGGGCAGTTAATTTGTTCAAACGAGCTGTTTATCTAAATTAAATTATCATTAATTGATAGAAAAGATTGAGTCATCTAAGAAATAATTTAATTATTATGAAAATTAGCTTGATAAATACGAAGGTGGGTTGCTTAAGCTCTTGGTCATATATTTGGTATTAGAATATGATCAAAATTTATGTAATAATGTGTGAATGCACGTTATATTTTCTCTGGTTCTGCGTCAATACTGAAGATGACTTGATATCTATATAAAAAAGATTGTTTCTTGTGGAAAATATATATATTTTTTATTTTTTATATAAATACTATTTTATAATTAACCCATGGATGACAAGTTGGTAGACATCTGAGTTGTAAGTCGTAACACTTCTCTAACCCGAGTTCGATTTATGAGGAGCGGAATTCTCAAATATCGCCCTTTGTTATTACCACCTTTACATTTCAAAATTTCTTTTTTATAAAAGGAAGGACATTTTTTTAATAAGAAAATTATAAAATATGCACCATAAATTTTAAGGGAATTAACATAGTACCACACAATTGTTATGTATTTACGTATTTAACACCTGCCTAATCATTTATATTTGCATGCATACCATACATATATTTGACATCACATAAAAAATACCACCAACATTAACTTGTTGAAAGCAAGACATATTTTCACGCATAAATTTATGATAACAATGTGTTATAAGTTTCAATATCAAACATGTGGTGTTAGATATGTAAATATAATAAGAATTGTGTTGTATGTATGCAAATTTCCCTAAAACTTATATGGACATTTATATACATGCATACTCTATTCCAATCTATTTACAAATCTAACCACAAAATTTTACTTTTTACATCCATACCCCTCAAAATGTAATCGTTTAACTTTGCATGCATGATAGCGCATTAAAATTTTGACCTTCAGACGTTACATAACAGTAACTTTCAAAAACAAACTCTTATTATTCCCCAGACAGTCATGCCCGTCCCAATGGATTCTTTTAAGAATCAGCATCGGTAAGATCACCCCACCTGACATTATACTTAGCCGCGAGATAATGTGCTCCGACGGGGCCTCTGCTTCCGAAGGGATAGAGCTCAGGAGAAACATGTTTGGCTTCTAATTCCTTCAGCAAAGGGGTGAACAGAGCCCAGGCGGCATCAAGCTCATCGCTTCTAATGAAAAGCCTGCGCTCACCTTCTATTGCGTCTAATAGCAGTCTCTCATACGCATCTGGTATTTCTCTACTGTACCTGCAAATTATTTATAAACTTTAGCTGCGGAATTGGAGTGCAACAATGGAGGTTTTGGGGGCATTTACGTACATACCTCCTATTTTATATATATTTACTTTTCTAACACATAAATTTTGTTTTTTTTACATTTATATCAGCCAAATCATTTATATCACAACAAAAGTACAGCTACTTTTATCTTTTAAAAAGTGAAATACATCCTCTTATATATATAAATTGAAGTTCAGGTGGTAGTATATCTCAAAAATATGTTAGACTTAAGCTCTGAGAGAAACGGCCTAGCCTAGATGAAAGACCCGGCCTGGACAATCGATCTAGTCTGAATGACTGACACAGAGGGATGATCAACACGATTCAGCCGATCGTGCCGACTTGAAGCTGACTAAGATCAGCCAGCCAAGTCGTAAAGTAGCCGGATGACAAACTTACACATATAAAATACCAAATAACATATTAATACAGACCCCTTTAAAGCAGGGGTAAAAATAAAATATCCTCATGAATAAGACATGATTGATCATGATAAATTCTTATTCATTATTATTCGCTCCTGTATCTGTCTCTCATTCTCTCTCCTTACTTACACTCTATCCCTATTCCTTGGATGCGATTCACGGACAAATTAGGTTTCAACAAGTAGATATGTAAATACATAAGAACTGAGTCACGTGTGTAAATAAAAGTAGTTTTTCAATGGTTGTTGCAGGGCATTAATTAAATTAGCAGAACTAGTTGTAAAAAGCCCACTCTCACCATAGAAACACTTAAAAAATAAAAATAAAAATGATTCCTTAACTTTCCTCATGTAGTGAACAATCATGCTATACAATAGAACAAAATTAAGCTCAAAATCAGCTTTAATACAAGAGACTTTACACAAAGAGAGAAGGGAGAAGGGTATCTTACTTTGCAGAATATAGGAGATTGAGGTTACTTATGTCAAGCCTCATGCCGAGACCTGGAACCTTATTGTTTATCTTAAGATATATGGCTTCATTCGGTTGAACACGAATGACGAGCTCATTAGTATTCTTATCCAGATATGTTCCAAAGCTTCTTCTGTACAGATTGCCAGGCACATGTCTGAACTGCACTCTAATCTCAGCTCTGAATGCTCCAACAATAAACAAAACAGTAATTCTGTCAGTATTTAACTCTTTTGTGGAGCATTTACTTGCATAGCACACAATTCTTCTATATTTACATATCTAAAACCCAAAGTACTTCTATATTTATAAACAAACCGCTCAAATCTTTGACATTATATTAAAAATAATAGTATTACTAACTTTTTAACAGTGAAATACACATTTTCATGCAAAACTTTATGACATCGATGTGTTTAGTATGTAATTATATAAGAATCATGTGACACAGCACAATTCTTATGTATTTAGATATCTGACATCTGAACTATCATATTAACATGCATGGCACTTACATCTTTGTTATTACATTGAAAATACAGTACTAGCTTTTAAGTATGAAATACAACTTTTCATGCTAAGTTTAAGAACCAAAGTGTAATAAATGTAAATATTAAAGCTAAGATGTTAGATATGTAAATACATGGGAATTGAGTGGATTGTCCTGAATTCTGCTATAGGGAAATGGAGATGTTTGTTTTTTCTCTTCTTGAATGTTTGCACAGTGATTGAATCTTTCGTCAATTGCAATGGTAGTTGTGTTTATAGAAAAAAAAAAAGGCATACTCATGTGAGTTTGTTTGGGACTTTACTCAACCTACGATAATTTCTCTCAAACAATTGCTTGGAGATAATTTAAAAAAAATTAAACAAAACCCACTTTCTATGCATCTTGATTAATAAACTATTAGATGTGTGTGCACAATAAAGAATAAATAAATAATAACAAGAAAAATCATGTTCCCATGTAGAGACACAAATGTGATCATGATATATCTCAAAATTATGATATTTAATTAGAGAATAATACAATATAAGCTTCGATTGATTAATTGTAGATTGCACTCGTCTTCAAGTCAGTCAACAACATTTGAGATTCTTATGCACGAAAAAATGTATTTCATTTTTTTAAATTCATAATAGTGATTTTTTGATGTGATATGAAAGATTTTGGTGATGTAAATATAAAAACTAAACTTTAGATGTTAGATATGTAAATACATAAGAATTGGATGTTATGTATGCAAATGCCCTAGTGTTTGAAAGGATACATTCAGATTAAGTCATTAAAAAAAATGAAAATTAAGATAAATTTGTCATAAAAAAATAATAATTTTATAAGCAATCTTACCCATTGTAATGCAAGGCCTTCCCAGCCTTCATCAAAAAAGGCACACCATCCCATCTGGCATTATCAATAAACATAGCCGCAGCAGCAAATGTTGGAGTGAGGCTGTTCTTCGCCACTTTGGGATCATCAGTGTAAGAAGGATAAGATTTCCCTCCCGTTGAGTGGCCCTTATACTGCCCAATCACAACATCTTCTATTTCCAACGGCCTCATTGATCTCAACACTTTAACCTAAAAGATTTTGATATTAATTCCACGAAAAAAAGTGAATCTTGGATTCATAAAAACTGAAAGTTGGAACCTTTTCGTTCCGAATATCCTCTGCATCTAAGCTCACGGGAGTTTCCATGGCGAACAGTGCCAGTATCTGGAGAAGATGGTTCTGCATTATGTCGCGAATGATTCCATAGCTATCAAAGTAACTGCGGCGGGTTCGCAGACGATGATTCAGACTTAAAGTTTGGACTTTGAGTAAGGAAATGATCAGAATCATGGATGGAACACACATACCCGGCTCGACCCTCGGTTCCGAAATCTTCAGAGAATATGAGCTGCACGTTTCGGATGTATTGCCTCGACCATAGGGGCTGGAACACGAGATTGGAGAAACGAAGCACAGATAGATTCTCCACGAGTTCTTTTCCCAGGTAATGATCAATCCTTCATAAAACAGATCACCTATTGATGCTACAGAACGAATGCAGACTGATGGTTTCTGATAAAGAGTGTGATTTATTTAAAATTAGGGGGTTCACAAGCATAGCACTAAAAAATTATCTTTTTACATATCGAATATATAATTTCTTCTATGTAAAATATGGAAGAGAAAGAGAAGATTGACTGAATGTAAGCGATTAAAGAGCTTCGACACGTTTTTGAGAGAGTCACCTGAGGGAGAGGTGAGAAGAAAGTGGTGTTCTTCAAGTCGGAGGAGAGCAGAGGGTTCTTTATGAGTGAAAAGATGATATTTTTGTGGACATTTAATATGTAAAAAAGTGATTTTTTAGTGCTATGTATTGTGAATCCCCCTTGAATCTAATGGAAAACCTGAAAATTTGATCCTCCGTTAAATATTGCATTAGAGATTTTGTAAGCTCTCTGGAAGATTCAGAGTCGCGGCCGAAGGGCTTCTCAACTATTACTCTAGTCCAACCAGTGGGAGAAAAAGCAGAAAAGGTGGCGCATCTGATGACATCAATGAATATATCTGGAGGGATTGACAAGTAAAATAATCTGTTTGGCAATCTTCCCGCCTGAAACAATTTTAAAGTGACTAAGAAAACAATGTTTCCAGTATTCCCTGTTTTTTATCTGGGGTTTAGTTTGTAAAAGGATAAAAGATACAGTTTGAAGTTCCAAAAAAAAAAATACTAAGAGCTTTGCAAATAAGCTATCCATGATTGAATAGTGGGCTAAATATTTAAAGGGGAAAAAAAAATCAAATGTGAAAAGAATATCTTAGGTAGAAATGAAACATCAAGGAAAGAATACAAATGTTTTTGAGAAACAATTACATGAGTAGTGCAAAAGAAAGCACAACAGCGGCATGAACATATTGTACTATACAATAACAACAACAAACCTTTATTGCACTAAGTGGGGTCAGCTACATGAATCCTTTTTCTCCATTAAGTCCTATTGATTGTCATATTTTCATTTAATTCTTATAAATTGAGATAATTTTTTATACAATATGCCCAAGTCTTTCTAGGTCTACCTCTGTCTTTCTTAACATAAGTCAAATCTAAAACATCTACACTCCTAATCGGATCATTAGATGGTCAACTTTTAATATGACCAAACTATCAAAAAAGAGTTTACCGTACTATAGATGGATACAAATGATGTTGAAGCAACTTAAAAGAAAATGCATGAAGATAAAATTTAGGTATAAATGTGAGATAATAATTCATGTTCAGAAAGATATGAGACAAGGAGACATTAAATAATTTGATAAAAAATAATGAAAAAAAAAGAATATTAGGAACTTATAGATTAGCATAATTATTTTTGGGGTATGATAGTACTCAATTTTAGCATACTACTAGAGGATCAAATAATAGGTTTAAGGACATTGCATCTAGGTCATAGTGTTAAAATTGAAAAATATCTCACTAATGCTTTGTGAAGAAAGAATATCATAGAAACTTAAAAACAAAAAATTCTAAATTGCAATTATATCATTTGTAAAAAAATTAAGTGTGGTAGAATGGGAATGACGAGATGGATATGTGATAAAACAGAGAAGAATAGAGCTAGATATAATTATATTGAAAAGATGGAGAACATAAAATGCATAGAAGATAAGGTGGTACAAAATAGGCTTATAATTTAGAACCCATAATGAAGGGTAGAAGACCGCCAATAAGACATAAAAATAATATAAATGTCGAAGTAATGAGGAGAAAATCACAGTATCATACCTATAACATCCTAGATTTTCAAACAATAAATTTATTTACATTGAGTGTTATGATCCACGTGGTTTTATGTGCAAGTTATACCAATTGAGTTAATAATTCCATAAGCCCACTAAGTTTATATTGGTCAATAAATTTGGGTTGACCAAGATTAGGAGAGCCAATCATTGTGATGTAAAATAGCCATGTCCGAGCGGTTTATGTTGGCTAAAAGATTACTAAGTGAACCTCAATATGCCCTAGAAACGTTCATTGATGGAAATTTAACTTGTTGAAAAAAACATGTCAAGTGATGTGATAGTTAATTGAACAAAATATTGCTTTTAATTTTGGTAGATGTTTCTGATGGGTTCAAAAAATCTTTTGTGGTCCCCTTCTTACTAGCCTAATCTTAAAAGACAAACTTTAACATAACAAATTTTAGAAGAAAAAGCTAAAAAAATGATGATTTACATTGTCTTGTACCAGATTAATTACTCGGTTAACATAGACAAGAGGAAATTAATTGTGAGGGAAATAAATAAATAAAAAAGATGGCAGACGATAGGAAAAATAGCCTAAAATGCATAAAGGAGTTAATCAAAAGATGATAAAAAAAGAAGACGAGGCTATCGATAGAAAGTTTTCATTTGAGACTTCATCATATTTTTCGTCCAACCTCAAATGACTTAAGTAAACTCTAACCCTAAGTTTATTTCCATAATTTTGTTATGATTTTTTCATGTATTTTAAAAGGATTAATCAATAAAGGGGTGATTTACATGGTTAGAATATAATTTACTTGTGGGTTAAACCTATGTTAGAAGTTAAGATAATAAACCAAGATTTTACCTATTTGATATTATATTATCAAGTGATCTTTGAGATAAATCAATTTAAGTGAGAAAATACTAATTAGAGTTTAATCAAATAGAGAATTTTGCTAGTGCTGTTTTGGTTAACTTATACTATGAATCCTTATTAACTTTATGGCTCATATCTTGAATAGTTAATTGATAAGAAGATGAGATAACCAACATACCAAAACATAATTTACATGTTTGAATAGTTAAATTTTAAATGAGAACCGCTAGCTTATGATCATATGGCTTGTATGTTGCCATATAATATGTTATAATGGTCATCTTGCAATCCTTAATTAAGAAGGATAATGAGTTAGAAAAAGTGAAGATTTAATCAAATTAAATACTAAAGTTTAGGTATAAAGTGGGGAAACCTAAACTTGGCTAAAGGGAATTATCAATAATTAAATTAATTTAACTACACCTCAATTATAATAGGGTTATTAAGAAGGTTTCATTATGAGTCATGTTATGACGGTAAGGAGCCTAGATGTGGTATTCATTCAACAAAATCATAGAAGCGATGAGCACAATGATTGTTACTATTTATTTGGTTTTCTCTTTGTTTGTTTGATGTAGAGCATATTTATGATGATGGTTCACATAAGAATGAAATGTTTTATTAATTATCTTGGAATATTCTATTAGAATTTGTTCATTGTTATAGTGTCTCAATTCAACTCATTGAATTCTAAATCATTTAATTCAAATCAGCAAATCCAGGGTCATAATCAAGAATTGCTACTCCTAACACTTTGCCATTATTGCTCCTACTTTGTCACCACTATATAATATTTCACTATTGTGGCTTTGTTACTACCATAACCACTCCGCATGCTATTCTCCCGTAGTTTCAAAGTTGTCATATATATCTAACACCTAAACTTTCATATTAACATGCATAACACTTAAATCTTTGACATCACATCAAAAATACCACTATCATTAAATTTTTAAAAGTGAAATGTTCCTTTCATGCATAGATTTTTAGTACCAATGTGTTATATATGAAAGTGTGAAAGTTTGGGTGTTTCAGATGTAAATATATAAGAATTGTGTGGTATGTAAGTAAATTTTCCTATTTTTAAATAATCATACATTTGTTCTGGATGAATGTGAATTTGAAAAGTTCACCTAGTTCAACTATAATGCTGCCAGAATATTCAATGACAGTTGGTGAGGGCAGTTTGTATTAAGCACACAATATTTTCAAGGGGGGCAATAATTCTTATATATTTACATATATAACACCTAAACTTTGATATTTACATGCGTACCTAACATCACATAAAAAACCCTATTATTACAAACTTTTTAAAAGTGAAAGACACCTTTTAATGTAAAGATTTATAACACCAGTGTTATAAATGTAAATATCAAACTTTAGGTGTTAGATATGTAAATACCTAAGAATTGTCTGCTATTATCTAAATTTCTCTGTTTTCAATTGTCAAAGTGGTTGGAAAGCCTTCTTTTTTGTTAGAGATTTGGTGAGCACTTAAGAGTGGCCTGCTGATGTTATATTACTTGCTATGCATATTTAAACTGAGTATACCCTGAAAGAAAAAGGATCCATTGAAGCCAGTGGGAGTAGTTAAGGATGCAATTGCTTCCTTTCATCTGATTGTGACCAACCAAAAAGAAACCAAAATATGAAGTGAAGAATCTACGGAATCCAAAGATCAATTTCTCCAATTCTTTGTACTTCAAGCGGGAAAAATCTCAACTCATTAGTTGTAATATGTCTAACTACATAAGATGCTCAGTTTATGCGGTATCTTAATTTCGAGAAAAGTGTCAACATATTCCCCCGACTCTTTGAAGGGTCTATTTTAATCTCAAAGTTTATAAAAGTGTTGATTTAGTCTCCAGATTTTCTTAATATAGGTTAAAATTGTACCCAATGAGGACGATTTTAGCCCCCAATTAAAAAAAAAACAAACCTAGAGATCAATTTAGCACATTTGTAAACTCTGGGGATAAAATGGCCCCATCTAAATGGTTGGGGACAGTTTTGGCACTCTACTCCTTGATCATTCAAGATTTGCAAGACCCAAAATTGTTCTATATACGAGGTGGAAGGTCATGGTGTTGTGCTAAATAAATATGTAATAATACTTATAATCATGTTTTGACAAATACTTATGCTCCTATGTTTTGATTGAATTATGTTACTTTGATTAACAGATCATGGTGTGAATTAAGATGTTTTTTTAAAATCATTTCTTGATCATGTTAAGTTAAACCTATTTATGCTATGCTTAATGAATTGCATTTTCTTGTATTGTATTATATCACCTTATTGTTAACATCTTTAGAAACTGACTCTGCAAATCATAGAATTGGGAACTAAGAGGATGACAGGTGATGACTAAGATAGACATGTCAGTCGGAAGGATCTAGTTGGATTCTTCATAGTAGGGCTTTTACCTTTTCAGAGCTTATAATATAACTATGTCTAGTATAAACTTACGTTCATGCATGGATATCATGTAATAGAGAATGTTATATTTTAGTTCTATTCAGTCTTTCTTTTATTAATTATATTCTTTTTTTTTTCAGTGATGAGCTGTTTGGATCTTATAGCTCTAAATCAGAATCCTCTTGGCATTGCTCGCCCATCACAATGCAAGCTCATGCTAACCTAGGAAAGTCATAGGTTGTGCAAACCATGTATAAAATAGCAAGAAGTTGTCCAAAAATTTGTGTCTAAAATAAGAATAGATAAAGCTGACCCCAAGTGGTAGGTTTAATGTTAATAGTGATGATGGTACTGCTCTGCATCAGTTTGAAGGCCATTCTAGAGACATGATATAAAAAGAAAGTGTATCAAAAAGTGATATCATTAACAATTCAAGTAAAAGAAGAAAAAAAAAAAAGTACTTCAATCACATAAAACGCAATGGCTGAAAAACTAGATTTTGAATGCTTGCAAATAAAAGAAGGGATTGTTACCTCTTTTTCTTTCAATTTCTTATCCAACTCCTTAAAGTTATCTTCAGAATCATACTGCCCTGACTGGTAGAAGCACCTCTGGAGAAACGTTTCCATCTTGTCACCACAATTTGCACTACAAATGAATTCAAAGAAAATAAAACTGTAGAATACTGAAAAGAGCTCAAAATTGGAGGCTGCACAACTACTCAATGGTCCGACATCGCCTTGCTTTTAATATTGCAAAGAAATAGATGAAAATAAAAAATATATATATTTTGATAAACCCATTTCCACTGCATACTCTGAATTGCTATGAGATAATACAATGCTTCTTAAATAGCAAAAAATGGAGTTATCTAACAAATAAAACTGAGCAAGAACAACCTTTTATCTATTCTGCATGCTAGTGTTCTGCTGATCATGTTCCTCAGCTCTTCATCAGACATCTTACTACGGGCATAGCCAAATATCGTAAAATGCTGAGTAAGCACAATATTGAATGTCATAAAAAGATATTGAACATAATAAAAAATCATTCAAATTCAAACAAGAAGATACCTCAGGAAGAAAATTCTCATAATAGAGTGCAAAAAGTGCAGGAAATATTTTCTTCTTTGCGAGATCTCCAGAGGCTCCAACAACTGTGACGCTTACTGTGGTTTTATTTTGTACTGAACTAGAAGAATGATCCGGACTGACATTAAAATGCTTAGCAGATCCATCCACAATTGAACTATCACCAATGCCTACACTAAAAAATTTCATTAGAAAAACAAATAGAAAATAAGCATAGGATCAAGGTAAATATGGGTGACGAAGATATGTATGTTTATACAAGATCAAACAATGAGTTTTTCTTATATTTGAGTGTTTAGCACCACTAATGTATATTTTCCTACACTCATGAATGCATTTTCACCTTTGCAATAGCTTAAGCTAAAATTCATAAACGATGCTCACTAATAACAGTGTTGGCCCTACTACATAGTGCTTCTAAGCAAATACTCAACAACAATACTATCAATCACATCCTTGATAATGTGTCATAGAAAATGGTATAGATATCTAAATGTTATATGAACCTTAATTGGCTAACTAAGACAATGTCAAACTTGTGATTTCCTAGAAGCTTCTATGGTGAACCGGGTCTACTTGGGAGACCTCATCTTGTTATAAATAGATGAGGGAGGCTTGTAGAGGAGAGACTACTACAAGGACTAAGAAAGAAATCAGACCAAGAAGGCCAAGAAGAGGAAGAAAATCAGTCCTAGTAGAAGAAGAAGAAGGGGAGAGGCATTAAGAATTGAGAGAAAGAGTCTTAGATCTTGTATCGACGTAATTTCGAGAGGGAGAGATCTAGAGGTGTGCTCATTCCTCAATGTAAAAGGCCTTGCAATTCTTCTTTGTCTTAGTGGATTCATTGGTGATTCCCTCCCGTGAATGTAGGTCTATGACGACACAAATCCAGAAGAACACAGAGATTTAACGAGGTGCGGCAAAGATGCCTACGTCCTCGGGAGCAGAGCGGCGACCTCCTTTTCAATATTCAGAAAAGATTACATGAATAGAATATTCAACTCTCTCCCAGACCTAGGATTAATTGTTATAAATAGATGAGGGAGGCTTGTAGAGGAGAGACTACTACAAGGACTAAGAAAGAAATCAGACCAAGAAGGCCAAGAAGAGGAAGAAAATCAGTCCTAGTAGAAGAAGAAGAAAGGGAGAGGCATTAAGAATTGAGAGAAAGAGTCTTAGATCTTGTATCGAGGTAATTTCGAGAGGAAGAGATCTAGAGGTGTGCTCATTCCTCAATGTAAAAGTCCCTATATGGTATATGAGCCATACCATAACAGATTCATTGGTGATTCCCTCCCGTGAATGTAGGTCTATGAACTGAACCACGTAATTCGTTGGCATTCTTGTGTTCTTGTGTTGCATTTCATTTCCTGATATTTTCTTTCCGTTTTTCCCTATTTTGCTGGCTGCGTTTTTCCATTTCTTGGCTACAGTAGCATTATACAGCAGTCCAGGTTCTTGGATGCAGTCCATCTTCTTGTGCTGAAGGTATTCGGCTCTCTTGGAAAAACAGCCAGGAGAATAACATCAGCAAGCAGGGAGTCTTCTGGAACAGGCAGAAGGCGAACTGCAGTAGAAAAAGAAGCAAGGAACTCGGCAGGTCTTCGGGTGCCAAGAGAAGACTCAAGTCTTCAGCTACAGGGAGATATTCGGGCTGCAGCAAGTGATCTTTGTCACTTCAGCAAGGCGGTGACCCATTCGGCTGAGGCAGACATAGAAGCTGGTGTTTCATTCGGCAAGCCTAATCTTCGGTGCTGTAGCAACAATCTTCGACTGCCAAGAGAAGTTCAGCTGTCAGGAGTTCTTTGGAATACTTCTTGGTGTTCTTGGTGGTCCTAATATTTTGCACAACACTAAATTTCACAATCAAGTTGTTGGCATCGTCAAAATTCCAATTAGTAGACATGATGCCATGTAAATATCGCATAGAAGCTTATAAACAACCACAAACCAGCAATAACATCGTTTCCTTTTCTATAATTTTGAGACCTCTAATTTTCATTTTCCGTGTTTTTTACTTCATCATCATCACATCCTTATGCAAACTATTCGGGATTTGCTTCATGAATCATTATTTTATTCATTCTTAGAGAGTGTTGCATCAAGTAGTACACAAATTAAATGTAATATTGACATATAGCTCAAAGCTTCTATCCAAGGTGCCTTAGGACTATATATGTTTTCCTCCTTAATCATCTCAATACTTTATCTTCAATAAATGCTACCGCTATCCATCTATTATAATCATTCCTAATGAACAAATTATCCCTCTAGTTCTTCATGTACAATCATTCAATTTTTAAAGAGGAAGATTTACATACATACATACCATTCAATCTTAACTATTTAAATTTCTAACACCTAAACTTCAATTTTTACATATATGTCGCCTTAAATTTGCAAGAGAAAGTGTATGTATTTCACATTTTAGAAGTTAAAATAATGGCAATTTTGATGTCATATGAAAGATTTGGGTGGTATGTTGTGAAAAACGACGACAATAAAGCGAAAAACTGGGTCGAAAAAAATTCACAAATATAAAACACAGCAGAAACACACAGATTTATATGATTCGGCAAATTTTCTACGTCCACAGAGCTGCAAAGGATTTTATTAACTTGAGAAATTACACTTGTCGATCACCTCGACGATTATAAGAAAGAACAATCTCTCTCTTTCTCTTTCTCTCCTCTCCTTCTCTCTCTCTATCCGAAAGCTTCAAACTGAAGCACACCAGAATAAGAACCTGGAAAGCTACCAATGCCGTAGAGGAAACCCGGGCAACCAATCTCGAGCGAGATCACAAGGGGAGCTAGCATGCCTATTTATCAATTTCATCATGTCATTAGGCCCATTAAAAAATTAATCAAATAATTAATGAAGCCCATTAATTATTTCATTTTCTTTTCTGCAGCAAATCATAGAAAGAATTAAGAGCAATTAATTTAGAGTATCAAATCTAATTTACTGCAAAATATGAGAAAATGTCAATTTGAGCAGTGAACCGATTTCCATATTCGCAACAAATCTTCCACTTGGAGACTGATATAATGGTTGCATCATTCACAACTGCGTCGCAATTTTCTTCAAATATGATATCCTACACCTCTGCAACTCAAAGCCCCTGTCTTCACGCTAGAAGACCAACTGAAGTCGAGCACAACTTCAACTTCTCAAAAATAACACCCTTAGTTGAGATATCAGTGTCAACGTAGATTTGTACTTCCAAGCTCTTTCTTGGGTTACTCCTGTATCTTTTTACAACTCACCAACTGAAGTCGAGCACAACTTCAACTTCTCAAAATAACACCCTTAGTTGAGATATCAGTGTCAACATAGATTTGTACTTCCAAGCTCTTTCCTGGGTTACTCCTGTATCTTTTTACAACTCCTATTGCATGAGCAATATCCTGTCTACTATGTTGGAAGTCATTTTCAACAAATATAGTCTTGTACCTCTTACTGTCATCAAACACAGTCTTTACCCAGTACACATACTTGTTGTGTAATGTCTTATTACCTGGTGGAAGTTCTGTCAGCTCCCGAGTCTGATTCCCTGATAGATAATCCATCTTTTTCGGTCGCTTTCCCACTAACGGAAGATAAAATTTCTTTCCATAGAGGTGTTCTTTTATCTGCATCATTCAATAACCTAAATCTATGTCATTAAAATTCTCGATCTCCGATGCCATCACTTTATTTTCTATCATCGTTTTCCCTCAGATCTGAACCTAAGCTCTGATATCAGTTGTTGTGAAAAAATAATGACAATAAAGAAAAAAACTGGATCAAGAAAAAAAATCGCAAAATAGAAAAGCACAGCAAAATACATAGATTTACGTAGTTTGGCAAACTGCCTACGTCCACGGAGCTGCAGGGGATTTTATTACTCTAGGATTACAACCTCTAGGATTACACCCGTCGATCGCCTCAACGATTACAAGAAAGAACAATCTCTCCCTCTTTTCTCTCTCCTCTCTTTCTCTCTCTCTACCCGAGAGTCACATTCAAGAAGAAGAAACGCCGGAGGGAAACTAAATCTCGAGAAAGATTAAAAGATTACAGGGGGAGCTAGCATGCCTATTTATTAATTTTATCATGTCATTAGACCCATTAAGGAATTAGTCAAATAATTAATGAAGCCAATTAATTATTTCTTTTTATCTTCTGCAGTAAATCATAGAAGGAATTAAAAGAAATTAATTTCGAGTATTAAATCCAATTTGCTGTCAAACATCAGAAAATGTCAATTTGAGCTGTGGACCGGTTTCCATATTTGCAACATGGTATAAATGCAAAAAGTAAAGTTTAGGTGTTAGATATGTAAACACATAAGAATTGGGTGGTATGTATGTAAATGCCCCATCTCAAAACAAGCTGGATTCTTGTAATTATAAGAAACATAACTATATATTTATCGACCCACCCTTCTCTCAATTCATGACTGGCATTCATTTTTGTGAGCTGGTTAACTGCAGGACGAAATACATTGAGCAAAACCCTAACTGCAGCCCAATCCGGTTCCCCGCTCATTCCTTACTCTTGTTAGCCAATCACTCAATTTCGACATAACAAAATGAACCCAACAAAATAGAAAACGATGAATTAAACTCACCATTTTCCACGGGGATCAGATGCCCGTTGAAGCATTTCGTCTGAAGAACCCTAGAACGTGCGAAGACGTCGGAGAAGAAGGTGAAGTCCATTTTGCTCCTTTCGAAGAGGCATCTCCCTTGATTCTTGACGGAGGAATTCAAGAAAGCAGTAGAGATGCAACTGTGAGTGGAGTACAGCGCCATTGGAAGATCTAGAGGGATAATGGAAGAAGAAACTCAAGATGCGAAGAAAAAAGAGTTCTTTTTATTTGTATAAGGAATTGGAATTCAGGTTTGTTCCAACTTGCAGAGGAATGGAATGTTCAACAAATCACAGAGGGGAAAGAGGGAGAAGACGAAGGAAAGAATAAAGCGGGAGTTTTGATAATATCCATTGCAGATTTTTGAGGATGTGAGGCTCTTGTTGATTTTGGGAAGGAGTGGATAACGGCTATATTTTAATTGGAAATAAAATTAGCTTAACTGTCCGGTTAGATTGTAATTAGGGATCGGGGCTGTCTTATCCAGTGTTTTAGTTTATTTTATGTTCAAAAGAATATCTATAATAAACAATTCAACTGAAGATGACTTAGGTGAGCAGCATTTTAGAAATAATTGCAGACAGAGGATCTGAGACATTGCTATTTAGATAAGTCCCAGATGTAGGGCTGTAAATGAATCGAGCCTCAGCGAGTTGAGGTTTGGCTCATATTCGGCTAATTCTAAATTATTTGTGTTTGAAATTAGCTCGTGTTTGAAATTGACTTGTTAACTCATGCTCTGCTCATTTTAAATATTTTTTCTTGTTTGGCTCGAAATTAGCTATTTAAAATTAATTGAAAAAATAGATGTAATGTATTAGATTCAAATCTCGACCAAATTTATGCAAAAGAAGACGTAGAATCCTTTACTTAACGAACGAGCCGAATATGAGTTGTTCGCAAACAATTGAGTTTTTTTAACAGCCCTACTTAGATGTTATTTTTGAATTGTTTACATGTGTCAATATTAAATCATTAGGAATTTGATAAAAATGAAAATTTTGAATGGAGATTTTATCATGAAATTTTTTTGATATTTGTGTATATATTATGATTATCATGAACTTCAAATTTTGCTACCATGCACGAATTTAATAAAACTTTATTTTAATTTCAAATTTAATCAATTAATACTATCTCTAAATGTTGATAACCATCATTTAATTTTAAAGCTAATAAATTCTTTTATTCTCTTTTTTAAAACAAGGAAATATATATTAATATGATTATTCACTTTTTATTACTTAGCTACTTTATAATGAGTTGGGCTGTAGAATCGTCTTAACACAACTATTAGCTCATTGGCAGTTGGTAGTGGACAAATGATGATGATCAAGTGATGATGGTAGAATAATAGTATTTGAGTAATCATTAGTAGATATAGATAATTGTTGGTGGACGAAAAAAGAACGGTCGAGTGATGGTTGTTGTGTGGTGATGTTTAGGTGATGATTTTCATATGATGATGGTCTTACAATAACAGACAGAGGATGACAACTATTGGTGGTGATCAATGTTGGTCATTATGTGAAACTTCAGAATTATTTAGATCTCCAAACTCTCTCCTTAAACGTAAGTCTCTTCCCTTTTCTAGAAAATGAATTATATTTAATAGTCTTTAATATTAACATATTAGCAAATATAACAAAATCACAAAACACTCCATTGGATGGCTCGTGTTCTTTTTGTTTTATAATGGATTATTGTTTGTTATTATTAAATGTCTAAGAACCTCAAACTTGGTGATCATAAGTTTGTTGGCTTATTGGTACACTCAGTTTGACTATAAGCATGTCAGATTTTTAATTATACTTTAAGTGCTTAATTTGTACTTTAAATGCTTAATTTAAGCCATTTTAGGCTCGGAACGAATCACTTTTAACCTTGTTGGGTTCTGTTCTGGAATCAAAAGATGGATGATTCTAGTTTAAGTTTGGAAGTTATTTCTTTTTAGAAAACACCAAAATTCAAGCTAAATTAAATGAATTTTGTAGTGATTTGTCAACTTTTATATTAAAATAGGAAGACAAATCTCTCATACTTGTTTGAATGTATACGACTCAAGGCTCTCAATCTAATCATCTACTCAGGCGATCTCCTTAGTCAATTATGGGTAGCCGTCTCTCTCATTCAACTTTATCACATAAAATTGCATTCATAGAACCTAATTCTTATGGATTTACCTATCTCACACTAAACTTTCATTTTTGCACACATATCTCTTCACCCATGAATGAAAAGATAGATTGGGCTATTAAAAAATGATAATGAGTAATGCCTTTCATATGATGTTTATAATTATAAAAGTTTAGGTGCCACATTGATAAATATGAAAGTTTTGGGTGTTATGTATGTAAAAATCTCTTTATTTTTATTTATTTTTTTATATTTTGATGTGATATATTTATATTACTAGCTATTAACTGAATGTTATCCTCATCTAAATTTTCTCGCAAAATTAATTGTATGAATGAATTATAACTATCATGCCATCAACATCGCAGCCGGCAAGCGTACAGAGAGAAACAGAAAGGTCTTTCTCTAAATTAATGAGGCCTCCTTATGTATCCGTCAAATATAATGCATGTATTGACATTTAAGTACTAGTGGACCTCATTATTTTCCACTACATGATTGATACATTCGAATACATTTTCAATTCATTTTCTTCATGTAATTCAACAAAATGTTGTTTTCATTCACTAAAATATTATTCAAATCTTATAAAACAATATTAGTGGAGCAATTAGGGCTCTGATGTCACATCAAAATAGTTCTATTAATAATTTTTAAAAATTAAAAAATATATTTTTGATGAACGGATGATATATTATAAAAGTAAAAATAGAAATTTAAAGATGTTAGATATATAAATATGTACAAAAAAAAAATGTGTTAGCGTTGATCCTGAAGAGATCTAAGTGTTTGGAGGAGGAGTATGATGAGAGAGGGGGCTACTGGCATAAGAATGTGAAACCCACCAATCAAATCGAGTGCAGCTACCCGAGCAAAAGGTAGCAATACTAAAGCCGACTGAGCCGCGAAAGACGAACGATTTGTTTGAGTACGAACAGTTCGGTCATAAGCGAGTCAAACACCACAAAAAAGCCAATCGGAAGGAAGATCTAATTTCCCAGTATCTCTCACCATACTGCGGACGTTCGGAAGTCTTCTCATCTATTATTAGGGTCAACAACCAAATTAGATCACTTGATCGATAACACCCTCCCAATCTACACGAGGATATTCAAACATAGCCTAACAAGTCAAAGAACAGCCAACGACAAACTCATACATGTAAAATATCAAAAATATCATATACAACCCTTTCTAAAGCAAAAATAAAAATATAACATCACATATTTTACTCTTTCTCTTACATATAGAAAAATCATTTCATAAATAAGACACAACGTATTATTATTAATTGATATTCAGTCCTTTCTCTGTCTCTCTTTTCTAACTCACGTTCTATTCCTTAAGTGTGATTCACGTAGAAACCGTTAATCCCATGAAATACATAAGAATTATGCGATGATATATATATATATATATACTCAAAGCATC